GTGCCTCAGGGTTCAATTTTGGGGCCACTTTTGTTTATTTTGTATATAAATGACTTAACTGATATACTGAAGTGTGGTGCACTGTTATACGCAGACGATTTAAAACTATTCACGCAAGTGTCGTCTACTAGTGACTGTGACTTTTTGCAACAACAGATAAATAGTCTTGTGCAATGGAGTTTGACTAATTCTTTGCTACTGAATAGTGCTAAATGTAAAATAGTTAGCTATACAAAAAAACATTCGCCGATTGCTTATAGTTATATGCTTGATTCCTCTCAACTACTAAGAACTGATGTGGTGAAAGATCTCGGTGTTTACTTTGACAGTAAGTTTTCGTTTTCACATCATATTACTGCAGTATCTCGCTCGTCAATGTCTGCGCTTGGTTTTATATTTAGGAACTGTAAACTTTTCCAAAACGTTGTAGCGCTTAAATCATTGTTCTTTGCTCTAGTTAGAAGTAAGCTTGAATATTGTTCACCAATTTGGTACCCTACAACTAAGAAACAGACATTCCCTTGAAGCTATTCAAAGGAAATTCCTCAAATTTCTTTATTATAAAGTGAATTACGTCTACCCTCCTAGAGGATACTCCCATATTGCATTATTAAACCAGTTTCATGTCGCTAGTTTAGAGGCTAGAAGGTTAAAATGTAACATAGCATTTCTATTTAACATCCTGCATGACAGGACTGATGCTCCTGACTTACTGTCCCAAATTAACTTTTTTGTACCGCCTTACCATTCTCGCAATAGTTTACCATTTCATCTCCCACTACCAAGAACTAATGTGTTATTTATGTCGCCGATTTTTAATTCATCTAGAATATATAATAAATTTTGCGGAAATAAGGATATTTTCAGTTCTGCTTTAAACAACTTACTAAGTTGCATTGATCCATTTATTTTGCATTAGATACTCTTAGTTATAATTGTATTAAATATGATTGTTGATTTTAATGGGTTTTGAATCAATTTATATATATATATATATATATATATATATATATATATATGTATTGGTAGCTTAATTTATGTTATTTTGATGTGCCGTCTGTAGTATTACATAATATTGTCCTATAATTGGAATAATTTTTGTTCTGTTGGGCAATTAAATATTATTATTATTGTTGGTGTTTCTTGTGAGAACTCAGGTCTAGCCTGGTTAACTAATCGCACGGATTAAAATCAAGTAACGATTAGTGTCTGTGTCTGTGTCTGGTGAAGTTATGTAGGATCCTAAAAAAAAATGAAATAAATAAATAAATAAAATAAAAATTCACACACTCACATTGGAAATCTAGAGATAGTATGTAATTCATACTTACCAACATAGCTATTGATGGGCACAATAGCCAACGCTATCAGGACAAAACAAAACAAAAAAAATCATTATAATAATTCTTATTATTATTATGGTCGGTGTTTCTTGTGAGAACTCAGGTCTAGCCTGGTTAACTAATCGCACGGATTAAAATCAAGTAACGATTAGTGTCTGTGTCTGGTGAAGTTATGTAGGGTTCTAAAGAAAAAAAAAAAAAAATATTCACACACTCGCATTGGAAATCTACGGATAGTATGTAATTCATACTTACCAACATAGCTATTAATGGCCACAATAGTCAACGCTATCAGGAAAGAAGAAAACAAAACAAAAATATCATTATAATAATTCCTGTAATTTTATTAAATAGAGTTTATTGTGTAAGTGTTTCTTTGGCTTTGCGTTTGGGTTGAATACGAGTGGGTTGTGACAATGTGGTGTGTTTCTGTGAAGAAGGAGTTATGTGTTTTTTAAGTGTGCTAGGGCGTGTAACTTTATTGGGTGGACCTGTCTTTGTAGTGCATGTTGCGTTACTTGTATTTATGGTGTTTCTTTGTTCTTGACGTTGTATTTGTGTGGTTGCTTGGGTTTTTGCTGGAGATATTTTAGTATGTTGTGAGCATGTAGTTCTGTTAAGGTTTTCACGTTTCGGTTGAATCCGAGTTGGTTGTGATAATGTGGTGTGTTTCTGTGAAGAAGGAGTTTTGTGTTTTTTAATTGTGCTAGGACGTGTAACTTTATTGGGTGGACCTGTCTTTGTAGTGCAAGTTGTGTTACTTGTATTTGTGGTGTTTCTTTGTTCTTGAGGTTGTATTTGTGTGGTTGCTTGGGTTTTTGGTGGAGATATTGCAGTATTTTGTGAGCTAGTAGTGCTGTCAAGGTTTTTGCGTTTGGGTTGTATACGAGTGGGTTGTTTCTGAGAAGAAGGAGTATTGCGTTTTTTAACTGTGCTAGGACGTGTAACTTTATTGGGTGGACCTGTCTTTGTAGTGCATGTTGCGTTACTTGTATTTATGGTGTTTCTTTGTTCTTGAGGTTGTATTTGTGTTGTTGCTTGGGTTTTTGGTGGAGATATTACAGTATGTTGTGAGCGTGTAGTTCTGTTAAGGTTTTCGCGTTTCGGTTGAATACGAGTGGGTTGTGATAACGTGGTGTGTTTATGTGAAGAAGGAGTTTTGTGTTTTTTAACTGTGCTAGGACGTGTAACTTTATTGGGTGGACCTGTCTTTGTAGTGCAAGTTGCGTTATTATTATTATTATAATTATTATTATTTAAGGAAAACCAGAAAATTTCGATTACTTCCGCAGATATGCCAGATAAACCGAAATTTGTCGATTTTGTTTTTATTTTTTTCTTATGTTATGTATTTGAACAGATACAAAAAAATAGAAAACACTTTCTCGTTGCCACTTTTTGGGCTGTACAAGACACAAGAGATTTTTAATACAACGTTTAGTTTCGGAGAAATCATCATCAACTTTGTTTTTTATATAATCCGTAAAAAGTACACAGTGTATTGAATAGCATTTTGGAAATTGTTGGTTTCAACAGGATGGTGCACTCGTCCACAACGCCCTAATCGTGCGAGAATACCTATCGGACACATTATCCGTTTTCTAGTAAATTTGTCCGATACGTGTTCTCGCACGATTAAAGGGTTTTGCAAAGGTGCACCATCCTGTTGAAACTTTTGTCGTTTTTTTGGTGTATCGTACATCGTTGTATTCGTAATAAAAAATGCAAATCAATACCGTATGTACTATTTTTACGACCCTGGCATATCTGCGGAAGTAATCAAAATTTTCTGCTTTTGTTTGGAGCATGAGAATAACTGTATAATTGCGCAGCTTTTCCGTAAATTAAATTTTCCTCGAAATGTTGCCCTGGATATTTGCTTTTGGAATATTTTGGAAAAAAACTCCAATTACTAGGTAATGAATTAACAAGTTGAATCTTGTCTCACTTTACGTTTCCTTTCATCTGATCTGTTTGCTACGGAAGTCCTGTATTTTACAGAATTCAGTTTGCAATTCTGTTTATAGGCATGTCATTTACACTTACTGCTTCCAAAAGTTTCCCTAAATAATTTCGGCATTTGTGTATACCGTTTGTCCTTTCTGGTTTGTTTGATTTGAGTAGTTCACGTATCATAAGGTTATACGAGAAAGCACAGAAGTGATCTGTATATATTCACCTAGAAGTCAAAGAGACAGATCGATCGATTTAAGCTTTTTTACCATTTCTATTAGAAACTTAAGTCATAGGCCTCTCCTTTTCGGATTAATTCATACTCAGCTCTAAAAAGCATTATGCGGGTCACTCTGTATTTGGGCGCAAGCCTGTTGAGGGCCCAGAACAAGAGAGGGATAATAAATAAAAAATAAAAACTCTTGCTTAATATCGCAATTGCCTATAATGTTTATAAAAGTATTCTCAAAGTGAAATAAGTTTTTGCATGTCCATATAGATGCATTTTTGTATAATGACAATCATTTTTTACCCAATTAAGATTCAGCCACTTTTTAAAAGATATCATTGCGTTTGTTATACCTACATTTCCATCCTAAAATTTCCAAGTAACGGAACAATAGTGCAATTAGAAGATGGCGAATGACGAAGAAAGCACGAACCATGTGAATGTATAATTGTAAGTACAGTATTCCGTAGGGTGAAGTTTACTTATACATTTAACGATGTTGAATCACGCATTTATGAAAAATGGGTTCACTACTGGTTCCACAGCGAGTTTTACTGTAAATTACAATTGACCATCCCTTACGATATGTAGGTAAATAAAAGTTCTTTTCATGGCACCCTGTTTTTTATACCAATTTTTATTATAATTGCGCAATGTACATTGTATAATATATTGTAATACATAAAACAATATAATTTTTTTGCTTTTTGGTTCTCTGAAAGTACTTTTAGGTTCAAACACAACACTTGTGTGTATTACGAAACAATTCGTAAAGCAATTACTACATCGATTAATGGGAGAAATCTCGGCACAACTGCAACAGGTATGGCGTATGGCACTCCACGTTACTGGGTGTATCACAGAAACTGTGAATAAAAGATACTTATACAGATTTATTTTTAGGTTTTCAAGAAGCACAACATGCAAAGCTCATGGTTTACAGCTTTTATAGAGTATAGGAATGTTATAATCAAAAGTTTATAGTGCATGTACTAGGTATAATATGGGCTTCTGATGGTTAATGAACACAGGTTGATCTCAAACGCAAACTGATATCTAACCAGTTGCTGCAATTAAATTTAGCAATATCATTTTTGAAAATATCGACGTATTGTATAACAGCGCCGCTTATTCAACTTTGAGAATACTTTATAAACACAAAAACAAAACTTTTTATTTAGGTACTCATTTCATACCCTGTTTCATACTTTGTTGGTTTGCGTATTCGCAAGATCTTAACCACGAATAAGTTTCTCATTTGAATTATAACAGCCAACTTCCTAAGTTTTCCTTTGTTTAGCATTTCGTGCCAAACAATGTACCTACTTATGGCTACAAAAAATATGTACCATTTCGTACTAAACAATGTAACTATATGAGTATATGAACTTGTACTTTTCTTTCTATTTTTCTATTGCTCAGTATGAGATCCACATTTTAAAGTTTTGGGGTTTTGGACACATTTAAATATTACGTTGTAGTTATACTTTAATTTATTTTGTACATGTTATACATTCTTACATATAGAATTATGCTAACATCATCACAACTAATTAAACTTAAAAGGACAAATTTAATCCAATACTAAAAACAATATACATATTAATATTCCAGACAACTTGTACGGAAAATAAAATTGGAGGGGGTGTCGTTGTCAACTCTAGGTGCAAATACTTTACATTTTGATTTTTACAAACCACAACCATAATTATCTCGCCTGAGCGTAAGTACTTTTAAAAATACACATCTTTAGGTAGAACGAGTAAGGTACCACATTTAGCATTTTTCTTAATACTGTATAGGCCATTAAGCTAAATAATACTGCTATCAAAATAAATAAAGTTAGCTTTCTTAATAAAAATATCTCACTGCTGACTAGGAATTTAAGACGAAAAACTTCCGGCAAATGCCCGAAAATCTTTCAAACTCAATTTGTGTGCGGGCGTCCTTACAGTGTGCAATATTTGTTGGTGCTTGCTATCTTTTAAATTAAATAACTATACAATTGCGGCACACAAACGATTCACCTACTAAAAATCTACGTATTATATTAGAATGATTTTGATTTTTTAAGAGATCATGTGGGAAATTATAACCTGCATTTTTAAGTTAATCGAAAACAGCATAGTTTTTATTTAGGGCTTTTCAATGAAAGCTACGCCATTTTCTTCTACCGTCGTTTAATGTTTCGATTAGAAATTGTCGAACGTTGGCACGAGACCTCGGTGGCCGAGTATTGCCCTTTTCCCGACCGACGACAGTAGGTTTCTATTTCTGTTCATTCCTTCTAGTTGCTTCTTCCTTGCGATTTCCAAGAGCAGCCTGTTTCGAAGGACGTCTAGGGAGTTTACGATGGATAGTGATGGTCCACCGTTTAACCCTTGTCTTTTAATTCTGCCTTCTCCGATTAAGGGTTCCTGAAAAAACACGAAACAAAGTGTAAATGCTATTCCATATTGAAGCACAGTCATATTAAAGAAAGTGGCACTCTTGAAGTTTTCAAATTCAAACTAATATTTAGACATAATATGGTATAAATCTACTTAATTCCATTTTGACCATGACTATTGCTTTATGGGTTGATGTATTGACCATAAGTATAGCGTATGATTCTGTATAACCTTCCTTTTTTACCAAAATTCGACTACACCAAAATTTCTCGGGGAAACACTTTTTCTTATTAATTTGGGTGCGTAGAATCCAAATCAATTCGTACTTTTTCGATCAGACTTCTCAATCAAAAGTTATAGACTAGAAACCAATTTCGAAAAAAAATTTAAAGGGCTGTAACTTATGAACTAGTAGCCCAATTTTGGAACTGTTTGAAATTATGGATTCTACAGGCCACATTCTATAAGAAAATTCCGGGTCGATCTGAGACAATTTTTTTTTCGGGGCTCAAAAAAAGGCAGAACTGTAGGTAAATATTCAAGCTTTGCTACACTTCTTGGTGCAGATTAATCGATGAATAATTAATTAGGCAATCCATTTTTTAGCTTCCATAAGTCAGAATAATACCTAATATAAAGGTACGAGCGAATTCATATTTTCTATCTTAAACTTAAATGCACTTTCCTTGGAAAATAATAATAAAGGTAGGTACTTGAAATCCATTATAAATACATAGTTAAAGCACAGATCGTTAAGTATATTAAATAAATAAATATTTATGACAACGTGAAAAATTAATGTGCATTTTGAATACTTGTGCATAACCTTCTGCAGTATACCAATCAATTTTTTTTTCTTGTTTACACTATAAAAGCAATAAAATAAGAACAATAGTTATGATTTTGAAATAAAAAGAAAATGCTTCAAACATAATTTGAATGTTCTTATTAAACGCGATAGGGTAATGGACTAGTATAGTTGAATATTTGTAATATGAAAATAAAAAACTATAATTTCATATGGAAAAAAACTGTACTTGCATAAACAAATCACTAAATAATGATCAAAGTAGTACAATACTAATTTTTAAACCTTTAACCATCGCAGTGCTAGTTACTTTCGATTTAATCGGTGATTATTTTAATATTTTACTTCGTGATTGTCACTAAATGTCAAATCGCGTAAAGCATCCATTCTTAGTTCTTCACAATCGAAATTATATATTGCACCGGATACTTTAAACTGTGTCTTGAAAAAAGGACACTATTTTTATTCAAAAGAGGCATATTAATAAATCCTGTAGGTATGCTATTACACAAAAAACATCAAATCGTATTATAAAAATTAGGCAACTTGGCGTATGTGTATGGAGTGGAAAATGTGACTCAAAATTTCAAATTGGACGCTTGTTTATATTTGGTAATGATTGAAATAAACATGAACACATACAATGTACAATAAATGATACATTGTTCAAACCACAACCGAAACTTTTCCCTCTTCTCCCGATTTGGCCCTCGTGAGCGAGGGGATTACCCGGTGGAGTAACTAAGGACTAAGGAGTGACTTTGTTTTGTGGTGTCAAAATGTTTGAGTTTAATTTTATACAGTTCAAGTTATCTCAAAATACACAAACGAATCGACAAAAAAAGGTAATTGATAGAAAGAGAGAAATATTTGAAATTAATTAGAAAATGGATGATGATTCTTGTACCCTTTCTTCAGGTTGCATGGCTCGCTTTTGAAGTAAAGACCTACCCAATTTAATATTATTCATTGAGGTTGTCCTTACTCCTTAGGTTTAAGTCCTTAAATCTTCACTTATTACTCGCGAACATTTAAAATTTTCACTGACAACACCTGTAGGTAAGGGAAATTTGCACCCGAAATCTCGCCCTGGATATTTAATACCATAAAACTAGCGCCCGCAAAATATCCACCATCTAAAACTCGGTTTTTGAATATTTTTGAAAAAAAAATTCCAATTAATAATCAATTAACAAGTTCAATCGAATTTGGTTCACGTTTAAAATTACACCTTGTCTCACTTCACGCTAAATTAGGTCAAAAATCTCACGCAAATACACTTTTGCGATTTCCTTTCATCTGATCTGTTTGCTACGAAGTCCTGTAACTCAGATTTTACAGAATTCAGTTTGCAATTCTGTTTATAGGCATGATGCCATTTACAAGACGTGTGTTTAAACTGCTCCCACAAATTTCCCTAAACAATTTCGGCATTTCACGTGTTTACCGTTTGTCCTTTGTGGTTTGTTTGATTTGAGTAGTTCACGTATCATAATCTTCTGCGAGTGTTCACGCAGAAGTCAAGTCGAAGAGACAGATGGATATACATGCAGATGCAAATGTGCCGACATATAAACGCCCCCGCCCCTCTTTCTCTCTCAAAATATCACCAGTAGGCAGTAGGTTGGAACCATCGACTTCATATTGGGTGAGAACGAATTTTGCATTCTCGTGTGCACATCACGTGTAATTTTCTGAATAGAATCTCGATCGATTTAACCTTTTTTGCAATAATTTACAATTGCTATTAGATACTTTTATAAGGAACTTAAATCACAGGCCTTTTAACGGCATTTCTCTTTTTGAATTAATTCGTAACCTGCTATTGTTCTGTACCACAATTGCCTAATGTGCATTATAAAAGCATTCTCAAAGTTTCTACCATCAGGTAGAGGCCTGACATAATATTTTAACCAACTAAGATTCAGCAAATTTTTAAAAGAGATAATTGGGTTTGTGATCTCTTTCCATGCTGTTTAAAAATTTCCTAATAAAGGGGCAATTAGAACATGGCAAATGACGAAGAATGAAAGGACTATGTGCATATTAGGTATATAATTATAATCACAGTTCCCTTAGGGTGAAGTTTATAATTTAACAATGTGAAATCACGCATTTATGAAGCATTAAAAAAATGGTTCTAGTACTAGTTCCACAGCGACTTTTACTGTAGCAAGTTCGTTTGACCATCTCTTGTGATATGCAAATAGGTAAAGGTTCTTTTCATGATACCATGTTTTTTTACTAATGTTTATTATAATTGGATAATGTACATTGTATAATACATTATAAAACAATATCATTTTTTGCTTTTTGGTTCTTCGAAAGTATTTTTAGGTTGGAATTCGTTAGATTCCGTACAACACTTGTACTAATTCTTACGGAATCAATAATTACCACATCGATTAACGGGAGGAACCTCAGCGCAACAACACGTATGGTCATCCACGTTACTGAATGTATACGGAAACTGGGACTGAAAGATCGTATACCGATTTATTTTTAGGTTTTCAAGAAGCACAATATTAACATCTATATATTAGAAGTATTTAAACAATGCTATAAGTTAATAAATACAGAGTGGCCCAACGAGAAGTATACAGAGGGCTTTTAGGGTATTAAATTTAGAAATTTCGAAAAATCCTCGAACACGTCAATTTTGTATTCGAGGGGGACAACTTTTGGAATACAAATCACGAACCCAAGTCTTCACCCCTCTACGTAGGGAGCTTAACCCCTAAAATTTTAAATGGAATCCTATGGCAAATGGCACATTATTTGAAAGCCAATTTAATCGTGATTAGTAATCTGCTTTGCTTTTTAAATTCTATTGATTCGTTTCGAAGATATTCGCATTTGAAATGATTTTTCCCCCTGATTTAAATCCTTTAGCAATTGTTTTACTGGAACAAAAACAAAGGCCGTTTATCAAATTAATAATTCTAATTACTTACATAGTTCGCGATATTTGACAATTTTTTTTATCGTAAATACCTTGGGCCCCACGCAGTTGTGTTACGACTTCCCGCGCTTTTTTTGTGTTTATTACTAATAATTCATTTATTGTCAACAAATTTGCTCCCGGTTAGTCGTATTTGAATGCACTGAGAGATAGAATTACTTGTAAGTACCCGTTTACGGTTACATTTATCCTAAGGTAATTTCGTATTCTGCCGAACTCACAGGCGATTCTGAGTAATGTTTCTTAAGGTACAAACAATTTCTTAGCGTTAAAACCAAAACAAATGCCCCAAGTCACCTTGTATTAAAATTTTTAAATTTTAATACAAGGTTTAAATTGTGCAAAAAATATCAAATAACTTTAAACACACAACATTTATTTCAATAAATGCTCGAATTGCCTTCCGCCTGTTTCCATGCAATAATAAAGATTTGCTTCAAAACGCTGCCGTAGGTACATGTTGCAAGATTTCAGGGGTAATCGCTCGAAATTGTTGAGTTATACCATAGTGTATTCTATTCTTACACTATGGTTATACGTGCTCGCAACCCTTGTAATGTTCCGGGCGGAGTAGCATAAACTTTATTTTTTAAATATCCCCACAAGAAGTAATCTAAAGGACTTAAATCAGGGGAAAAAAACCATTTGGTTTTTTTAGAAACCATTTCAAATGCGAATCAATAGAATTTAAAAAGCAAAGCAGATTAGTAATCACGATTAAATTGGCTTTCAAATAATGTGCCATTTGCCATAGGATTCCATTTAAAATTTTAGGGGTTAAGCTCCCTACGTAGAGGGGTGAAGACTTGGGTTCGTGATTTGTATTCCAAAAGTTGTCCACCTCGAATAGGTACAAAGTAGACGTGTTCGAGAATTTTTCGAAATTTCTAAATTTAATACCCTAAAAGCCCTCTGTATACTTCTCGTTGGGCCACTCTGTATACTGTGCTATAGGTGTCTTATAACCAAAGTTTTACACTATATGGGCTTCTTGTGATTAATGATGAACACAGTTTGATCGCAAACGCAAACCGAACTCTAACAAGTGCATTGAATTTTAACATCATTTTTAAAAATATCGACGCCTTATATATATATAGGTAACAGCGCGCTTATTCAACTTTGAGAATACTTTATAATTAACACAAAAACAAAACTGTTTATTTACTTATTTCATACTTTGCTGTTTGCGTATTCGTACAGACTCTAACCACCGCATTAGAACTAGAACAACCAACTCCCACAGTTTTTTTTTCGTTTAGCATTTTGTGTCAGACAATGTGCTTACTTTGGGTACAAAAAATTGCTATATTTCAAAAAGGTTTAGCTTTCGTTCAGTAAGATTAATATTTTAAAATTGACAATTTCTGTTTCCAATTCAAATTTTGTTGTAAGAAAGGAATCTTAGCATTATTCCAATAACTTAAGGTCCAACAGAAGTAGACTATTAACACTATTAGGTACAAATATTACCTGAAAATCAATGTCGTTCGATTCTGCTTCAGTAAGTACATAAAATCGAGGATCCTTAACGCCATTCCACTCGGTGTTTGGACGATATTTTGCAGTTAATTTTGGTAATAAATACGAAACTGTTTCTTGGTCGGCGGTCAAGTCGAGAGGTTCAATTCTTCTGTCGTAATTCGTCCTATCTTCACTTTTAACGTAGAGTATCAGAGCCGCGCATACAAAGTAAACGGGCACACGCATGTTAGCAATCTGGAAAAAAAATGCAATTTATTGGTATAATGATGCACCTTCGTTAACATACGTAATTTAGATTTAATATACAGTTTTGCTTCTGTATACTGGCGAAATTACTCTTACAAGTTACAAATTAAAAAGTGTCGTGCTCGTTAGGTATCTATTATTATGTAGTCCCGTTTTTAAATTGGATACTTGAACTCACGCGCGCGAACTTAAATTATAAATTTGAACACAAATTCAAATTTGACCTCTTGCAAATTAGACGCCTGTTGAGGTCTCCTTCTCGTTTAAAAATACTTTGACAGAAATCGAATTTAGCAAATTTCGAAAATGCAATAACTGTTCAGCAAGCATTGACAAAAAAAGTTGAGGACAATCACCGAGGCCCGTCAGTGTCAATTTTCGCCAAGCACTAAGAAATATATACCAAAAACCGCCTGCCTACACAAAACTCCGATATATTGAATTGCCATAAAAATAGTCGCGGCTATATTTTATTATTATTTGCGAAACGCAACATTTAGCAATCGGGCAAGAGATAAGCTCTAACAGAATAATATTGATGACGGTAATCTATCATAATTTAGAGAAAAACAATACATCACACGAGAACCAACTCGTGCAATTTAACGCTTTTCTCAGGGAAATTGACTAAAAGGGGCCAAGATAAAGAAAAAACTTACTTTATGGTCCACGAGTTGATGAGATTATAGGTGCAACACTAATGTAGCGAAGGATCCTTTTTTGTGCCTAGTTTATTATTAACAAATTTGTGCTCCTATTAAAGGGTGGGAATATATAAATTATAGCGATAAAACATAAAAAAGATAAGTGTAAAGGTTATAGACGGTAGTAATAATTAGTTAGATTTCTTGAGATTATTGGCGTCGCTGATTACAAATAATTGCTATTCTAGTAATTTTAGGTTATAAATATTAATGGGGTTAAAAAAATTGTAGCTGGATGCCATAGGCATTAGTACTTTGAATAATTAACTTAATGAAGAAAGTAGAATTTGATAAGTTGCTAAACGAAAGAGAAAGTTTATCTTAGGGGATTGTGCAAATAATAAATTAAAATAAACATTTGTACTTACTTAATTCAAAAAGAAAAAATTAACAAAATAGTATGTATAGGTACTATATTTAGATAGGATGGCTATATTTAGATCGGTGCCATTGCTGTAACACTATGATAATGACCGTTCGAATTAATACGGTAGATTACGATACCTAAGTTGACTCTAAATATAAATGAGAATTTTTGTAATCACGTGTATCGATAATTAACGTTAAGTCGCCTTCACCTTGATTTTTAATTTATTTCGTACTTCCGCTGTCCTATCCAAAAAAACTAGGATTGTGAGATTCTTTGAAACAATTTATAAGACCGGAGAAAGTAAAGCTAAAGTAAATGATTAGGTATAAAAAAGTGACTCGTTGTTAAGTTTCGATTAGATTCGTTTGGTTGGATTTTTGTCAAAACTTCCAATATACAGTAGGTATATGTTAGGTACAAGCGAGAACTTATTTTTGGTGGTTGATTATGATTTTAACAAGGAATCTTTCAAAACCTAAACATTTTACAAGAAAAATTCAAATTGCGCACTGCAGTGAAGACATTTATCTCGAGATCACGTAAGCAAAAAACGAAGTTGTCAAGGTAAAAGAAGTATTTTACTACAATTTTGCACAACGTTTTTAAAATCAAATTTTTTGCAAGGTATCATAGCTGTATTTGTTTACTTCTATAGTATGTTGAAATTGAAATATTGATTATAGTTGAGTTAGCGACACTTAGGCGACCGCGACAGTAAGGCGTTAATATTATCGCAGAAATTTATTGTATTTCACCATCTCATCTATCAGAATAAAAGGCTTGACCGCCGCACTTTCAAAGGTTATCTTACTCTAATAATGTTACGAGATTTAAACAAACATGAAATCACATTCATCACCTACATTCGTTTTTGTACAGTATCATTTTCATGGATAACAACAAATTGAAAAACCTATTGGAAGTATTTCGGATATCGTGCATTAAGAACTTTCGTAGAGAATGTAATAGGCTGTCATATGATGTAATAATATACAGAATGTTCCATAGAAAAAAATTATCTAAGAAATGCGATGGTCTGTTTTTCTATTTACAGATTTGGATTCGGTAGGCACACAATTTTGGTAATTTAACCGTCTTTCTAACTCCATAACTATACAAAAGTTGGCAATAGTGGCGACTTAATTTAAAACCGCTGTTGTCTTAAAAACAAATTTTATGCAATGAAAATGAATGGGAAAAGTCATACGGCAACGTGAAAACCTTTTTTGTTATCGCATTAATTATTAATTTGATGTTTTCCATTTCGAATTACATATTTGACTATAAAAGTAGAACCAATTACACACATGTGTCTGTTAAAAGGGACTTCAGTCAATAAATTGTTCCCAATTGCCCATTTTGTTGCAACTTTTAATCGAGACACTATACAGGGTGGTGATTTGCGTAACGCCGCATAGGGATTTCAATGTAAAATTCATAACATGCGATTATTGGCTCCCCAAATTATTTTAGACCAAAAATGTATTAAAGTTTTTTGTAGAAAAATTTTTTTACACCAATTAACCGTATTAGTTTTCAATTTTTTTCATATAAAGACGGAAAATTGGAAAAATAAAAGCCGCATCTTTTTCAATAATCTGCGATGCCATGGAATTTTCTAAAACAAAAAGATATCCAGTTATCAATTAGCAGCAGTTCGAAATGGATTTTATGAGCGACTTGGTTACTGTCTTGCAGTTAATGGTGAATTATTCGAACATTTATTGTAAATTAGGAAACCGTTTTTAGTAATTTGGTCTTTCTTTATGTTGAATTCGCTGTTCTAAATATAACACTTTTTGATAGAATTTGATTTGTTTTATAGCAAATATTCCATGGCATGACGGATATTGGCGTAGTTTTTGTATTATAAAATTCCATGGCATCACAGATTATTGAAAAAGATGGGAGTTTTATTTTTCCAATTTTCCATCTTTATTATGCAAAAAATTGAAAACTAATACGAATGATTGACGTAAAAAATTTTTTTCTAATAAAACCTTAATACATTTAGTTTAGTTTAGTTTAGTTTTATTTATCCCCATTTTTGCTCTAAAATAATTTGGGGAGCCAATAAACGCATGCTATGAATTTTACATTGAAATCCCTATGATGTGTTACGCAAGTCACCGCCCTGTATATGTATACCTATAAAAAATCGCAAGTGAAAATGCTTTTCTACGTGTTCCAGGATTTTCCAGAATATAAAAACCCTAATTGGAAATGAATGTGATCCTTTCATTATGAAAACGATCCTTTAACTTGTCCTGAAAAACGATTTATTACCTTGAATTCATTTGGAGTGATGCAAATATTTGTATTTATTTAATTGATTATATATACCTATTTATGTTTTTAGTGCACTTTGACTTTCAAAAAATAAAAAGTGCACTTTTGCGCTCTTGATGTCTGTCTGCCTGCCTGCCTGTCTGTCTGAGTCACAAAGGCTCCGGAACTACACCACTTACAGACTTGGTATTGGTGTCATTCGACCAGAAATTAAAAATTATTTCATGTTTGTACTCTCGTTAAGGCATGAAATGTCCATAAGGGCTATTAAAATCGAAAAAACAAATTTGAAAGTTCACTCTTCGCCTCTTGCTCACAAGCGGCTCAACGAATTTTGTGATTTATGTTTTTTATAATTTATGTTTAAATAAACTTTCTAGCTGCACATACAAATTTCACACCTCATTATTTTGGAAGTACCTACGAAATTTGTACATAAGCTTATTATTTTCATGTTTTAAAGAGATATCACTTTGTAACTAATACACAGATATCTTTAGTTTCTGTTTAACGGGTAAATACCACCCTCACTGTTTTAGAATGACGAAATTTTTATGTGAACTCTCGAATTATTATTATCAAGGGGTGTAACCTTTGTAGTACATCAAATATTTTTGTTATTTATGTATGATGTTTAAAGGGTGTACATGCAGCCCTAAAACCGCGTAAGTATAATCAAAGAATACTTAATAATAAACCGATACAACGAAATATCGAAGGATCCTCAGTATTACAATAACTTTTAACGATAATTTATTTTAATGTTACAAAATACATCAAATTCATGTCTGGCCATTGAGATAATGCTCTTAATCTTGTTTTGATCAAAATCCATGTGGTCGCCAAAAATAGATCAAATTCATGTTTTGATCATTGAGATAATGCTCTTGGTCTTTTTCCCAAATAAATCGATTTTGACATGTTTTGATCAAAATTCATGTGGTCGCCAAAAATAGATCAAATTCATGTTTTGGTCATTGAGATGATGCTCTTAGTCTTTTTCCCAACGATGTTGGTGCATAAATAACGATTTTGACATGTTTTGATCAAAATCCATGTGGTCGCCAGAAATGCATCAAATTTATGTCTTGAGCATTGAGATAATGCCCCTAGTCTTTTTCTCGACGATCTTGGTGCATAAATAACGATTTTGATTATTTTGATCAAAACCCATATGGCAATAATTTAACATTTTTGAATCACACACATGCGGTTATCAAATGTGCACGTGATGTACTCTTGCTGCATCAAGATAATGCGTTTGAAACCTTTTAAAACTCTAAATTCATGATGTACTCTTGTGCATCAAGCTGCGTTTGAAACCTTTTAAAACTCTAAATTCATGTATTATAATTTTTGCTACATTTTGCTCTAAAACTTTCGACCTATACCACAGAGAAGAGTTATATTAAAGTATTACACATCTAAGAGTCATAAGGAATAATCTAGCGGAAGTCCCAACCCGATACATGACCTAGGGAATGAAATATGTTGATTTCTATTATATTGAGCCCGTAGTTTTTCCTGTTCCCGATTCACTCGAAGTCCTATAACTTTTGTTCCTATTGAACCAGCTTCCTGAAAATCAATAGCGTCCGTCCTTAATGTCCAAAGAACCCGTACACCAAATTTCAACTCAATCGGCCACTTTTAAAAAGAGTTAGAGCGCACACGGACGGACGGACGGACGGACGGACGACAATACAAAACTATAAAGGATCTGAGGATCCTTAATAATTACTCTTTGGTATAATATAAATTCCAACCGTCGGTTTTTAAAAAAATTCTGGCCTTTTTAACAAAATTCTTTCTAACCCATTATTTTCAAATGCATTTAAATCTAGATTTAAATTGTGTAACTTTTGTGACGCGTCAGATATTCTATGACTTCTTGGTGTGGGGCGGCGGGTGGCGGTGGAGTAGGGGGGGGGTAATATCTAAGTGAAAGAGTCGAAACGGTATGAGATGGATTCATATATGTATTTATTTTT